TACCAAAACAAATAAAAAATTGTCGCGAAAGACTTTTCTGAATATTTTTGAGTTTTCATTTTCAATTAGTCAAGTACACCAGAGGGTGACCTCCGATTTAATTTCAACTACAATTATAACGATGTTGTAGCTTGTCCGTGCATCTAATTCAATCGCTCCTTGAAAAAAATACTATGAAAAATAGACAAAACGAAAAATTTCATTTCCAATTTCTTAAAACTTGAATTATCGAGCAAGTTTTCCTAAATCAGCAGTGTGAGAAAATTTTGTAATTTTTGCGCAGCCACTTTATATCCCCGCTAACTCGAAATTCCAAGCAAGTGGGGAATGTACATGCTTGTTGTGAAATTGTTTTTATTTGAACCAAGTTCTGAGAAAAATTTATAGTGTGGTGATCGAACTTAGAATCTAACTGTTCCTAACCCTAAACGCTCTTTGAGTTTATGTAGATTGCTTGTTACACGCTTTGAAGACTTTATACTTGATGCTGAAAGCCTAAGACGAATTATTATCCCGCGCCCATCAATTTTTCCGAATTGAAATTAAGCGAAATAGTTGGCGATGTTCATGTTCCAGTTTTTGAAGAAATATGTTTTCTTGGGGTCTTGTCTTCCTCCAGACAATTTTCGACGTTTCAACTAGTTTTTTGGACAAAAACTTTTTTAAAAGTTTAAAATATTGATGCTCAAAGCTCATTGTTGCATATTTACAATGGTTTGTGTTTGGAAATAATTTGAGTACTTTATCTAAAAACGGGCTAATTAACACGCAGTATTTTTTGTCCTCTTAAAACTTAAGTGACATCGTACATCATTTCAATTGAATTGAATTGAAGCCAAACCTTTACTTTTAAAAATACTTTACGAGACGTCAAACTTTCTTTTTGCACTTAACATAGATTTTTGGCGATGAAATTAGGAAGTGAAATTTAAAAAAGGTCTCTTTGTGCTTTAAAAAATTACTCAAAATCTTTAATCGACATTAGAAGCCAGTCGGAATTTTCAGGGCTTCTCCCTGATGTACGCACTCTTGACTCCTCATAGGAATCAAATTTCAACACTCAATATTTGATAAGGGCATTTAAAATTTATACTTTATCAACCAAAAACTATAGGAGAGCAATTAAAGGGCATAGTGGGAACATTCAGAATTCAGAGCCATACCCTAGAAAAGAGAATTTGTTTGCTCCTAAATCGAAGTCAGCGACATATGATGCCTTCGTTTTGATATGTCTTCATAGTTATAATCAGTTAAGCTTTTTTGGAATCTTGCGACAAAAATGCTCACATTTTCGCGCAAGCAATGACAATAATACCGGAATTGAGCGCAGAAAAATAATTTGTCAGAATCTGTCGGATCTAATGTGGAGAACTGCATTTCTGTGCAATCTTGAAAAACTAAACACAAGTCTCGGACATCTTCGAACCGGTTGTTGTTTTTTTTTTGGTTATACAATTAATTTTTAATATTATGGTTCCAAACTGGCAAAGCTCTAGTTTCAAGTACTAAGTTCGTTTTGGTCACTTGGATCAATTTCATGTTGAAACGTTCTTTTAAATTTTATGCCAAAATTTATCAGAAAATCAATTTCCAGACACTTGTGCAACCAGTTTGTCAATTTTGTTTTTTGCTCAAGAAAACTTAATGGAACAGTTGCACAAATTGAGCAAAATTTTGAGGCGAAAAAAAATTGCTGTTGCTTTTTTTTCAGTTTATGCTCAGATGTTTATAATTCAAACGAGGTCATCAGAAAATTGTTTTTCAGTCATATTGAGGCTTTAAAAGCTAATTTTAATTTGAAACTAATTTCACTCCCATTAAAAGAATTCTACGCCTCTGAAGAAAAATTGTGAATCAACCTAGACGGCAATTTGAGTAATACATTTTTGACTTGCTTAAGACTGAAAACGCCCTAAAAGTCTGATTCTTTTACCTTTAAACGTTAATCAAGCAGGGAATTCGAAATAAAATATTCCTTTTATTTGGTTTTTGGTTTATCATCTGAATTGAAAGCTAGCTGATTTTCCTTCATTGAAAAGACTAAATATCCCCGGCCCCAAGGTAATTTTATAACTTAGTTTTGCCGATATCATTTCAACTAAAAATGTATTGTACTTTAATGCATTGATCGGGTAATGTTACTAGAATACACATGTGTTGTTTTTGACCGCGGGTAACGTGAGATGAGAAAGGGGAACGCCCATATTGAATTCTTTTTCAAACAACATAATTGAATTTTTACTTTATGAAATCCCTATTTGGTCCATTCAGTTGCCTAATTGGGTAACGCACAATCGCTTTTGTCTCGTAATGTATTGGCTCAATGTCGATTTCTTTCTTAGTTTTGTCAATACGGACGGCAACTCGCTTGAAGTTACGAGGAACTTCGTCAACTCCATTTTTTCATATATTGATCGCTTATCAAAACGGGAAAAATCAAAGTTCTAAAAACCGAAACAACTAATAATACTATATGCAGCGCCCCGGACTACAACCTCCATTGGATTAAATCCCCCTATGATTAAAGGATCTTTTGAAATACATCTATTACAGGGGTGGTCGCTATATTAGATACAAAATCAGCAGATGCTTAAGCATTGATTATGTTTTTATAGCGGCGGTGGTTCTTCTTTACTAGGTAACATAGGGGGGGGGGTGTAGAGCGGGAGAGAGAGAGAGAGAGAGAGAGTGTGAGAGAGAGAGAGAAATAATGTATTAATAAAATGGCCAGTAAAGCAGAACGCAATTTATCTAGTATACAATGATCAAAAAATCATTATTAATTTTATACCAGACCCAGCATAGTAGCTGATAATGGTAAGCTCAACCTTAACTTTTTCAAGTTAGGTCGTCTCAAGAGGATAACAATAACGGTGAAATTTTTAATTGAATAACTGTAGCCTTGATCTTACACACTTTACAAGAGATATCAAGAGATATCGAATATTGGCAGCTCCGTAGAGTTATCTAACAACACTAAATAATGTTTTTTAGTTATTTCTTGGAAATAAATTAAAATTTTGAGCCCTTTTGATTTTCAAGAAAATTAAACCAATCGCGAGACTTGTTTAGGAAAAGTTTGTCTTTTTTCTTGCTTGTCATATTTAAATTGAAACAAGACTGCTCGTATCAGGGCGAATCCCTGAATGTTTGACTGCCTTTTAAGGTCTGTGGAGCAGTAATAACCCGAAAAATTTGAATAAATAAAAAAAACGATTTTTTTAAATTTGAGATTTTTTTGTAAACACGCTATAAGAAGTACAAAGTGATATATTTATGTTATGGTAAATAAACTTCCTTCAACCAAATTGGAACAATTTCTAAAACGGATTAAATCTCCGCTTCCGCTTTAACAGCGCAAAATATATTGCGCGTTAATTGTCCAAAATTGGCCAAAATGGCAATCTCTAAATTTCCATGACTTTACGAAAAAAGATCACAGGAAAAACATCTTTTCAAGTTTAAGCTCAAGACAACAATACTTTTTGAATGATAAAAAAAATCCGTCGAATATGGCTAGTTAAAAAGTCGAAATTTATCGGAAGAAAAAACCACCCCGAGCACAATTTACGAAAGTCGGATTAGTAAACTTCCTTGGTACGTAGTTTGAGCTCGCAGTGTTCTGGAAACGTAGTTTGAGCTCGCGATGTATTGGAAAATATATTTGATTAAAATAAAGGTAAATTTGCTTTCAGTAACTTCTGAAAGATAGTTTGGGAATTTCAGTCAAAAAATTTCTTATTTTCGGTGTCAACTAATTTCCCTATTTTCCGTTACAAATTACCTACGTTGAAATTAGACTACATCTAACTGTACGGGGATATCAAATCAATTGATGAAGAATAATTACAAAAAAGGACCAGAAATAGAACGAAACTGCTCGTATGAGGGTGGAGCCCTGAATGTTCCGCCTTCCCTTTAAAGTGGCTGAATTAGTTTTTGGAATCTGAGTCAGCGGCAGAAATGTTAATTGGTAGCTTCAATTCACCTTAACCTTAATTCTTTTATTTCTATAATTCGTTTCCTCTTTGGTAATGATATTTAACACATAATTAGACTTCATCTAACTTAGATTATTCTTATTAGACTATTCTTCCGATCCGGTGGCCTTTTGTACTAGATCATAAAAATTAAAGCAGAGATCAATTTTGAAGACAAAAAAAACAGAAGAATTCAAATCAGAAATGCCAAAAAATAAACCGAAATAGCGCAAATACAACTATGGCTCACTCATTCATAAACTTCTCAAAATACTCTGAAAAACGAAAACTTCAGATTGTCCAGTTTAATTTCGGTCTTTTATTTTAGCACCATTCAATTTAGCGGCGCTCCTCAACAATTTTAATCCGTGATTCTATTTTACAACTTAACACCAAAATTAATAATTTTATAGTGACCCCCGCAGTCGCGTCAACAGGTTGCGAGCTTGCCTACTCTATACAAAAATTAGAACCGGCTACCACCAGCGGGCGACCTTAAAACCAGAGTTCGTTGAAATGTAGTATTGTTAAGTTTTAGGGAGTGAAATTTCAGAAATTGTTCGGTGTTAAAATGTTTGTTATTAAAAAAGTAAAAGAAACTGAATTTCATCCAAGGAAATCATTTTCTTTTTGAGCCAATTGCTGAAAATTGAGGAAAACTCTACTCTTTTTTTCTATTTTGGCTTGGTTCGAGAGAGTTTTTGCAGACATTTCTTATCTTGACGTATGATCTGATTTTGTTCCCTTCTCTAATCAATTTATATCCACTGTCCCGTTTTTGCCCCGAACTGAAGTTGACACAATTTCAGAGACGACCAATGTCTCTAGAGACTGATGTGTCAAGCCAAAATGTGCCTTAATTTAGCCGATAACATTGTTTTAAAATCTTGATTGAACCCATCTAATTTTGAACCTGAGCGCTTATATAGATAGTTTTAAATGTCCACAAGGGAAAAACGCTCCTTGTTTGAGGTTTTAACAATCGCTTTGAGTTTAATCTTTTTATTTTGTTTATTTCAGATCAACATCCCAAATAAAGGAATTGATGGAAATTCGCTCAACCATCATTAGAACTCCCATTCTTACCATTTGAAAAGAGTGAACAAATCAATATTCAATCTGAAAACCTTCATTGAAGTGGAATTTTTGAAGCTGCTGCAAAACTTAAGAATAAAACGAAAAGGAGAAATGGACAATTTCAGTACAAATTTCACATTATCCGATAAAATTACAGATTCGGTTGAAACAATAAACGACCCTTGGGGGGACTTTTTCGGAGTGACCCGAACAATTTTCACCGCAATTTCACTGACTTTGCTCTGTTTGCTAACTGCAATCGGAAACATCCTGGTGATAATCTCGATTATAATAGTGCGCAGATTGAGATCGCCTCCTAATACCATAATTCTTTCCCTCGCAATCTCTGATCTCAACGTGGCCTTGTTAGTCATGCCCGTCGCAATCATCTACGAAATTAAGGTTAGTCTATAATAAACTAATTGGACCACTTTAAATCACCGCAAGCCTTTCCAACAACCCCCCCTCCCTCCAATTCCATATCTTTATTTCAGGGTACAAATAATGATAGCATACAGTGGATATAATAGCGGCTGCCCCCCCCCCCCCCCCCCACACACTCCTCATCAACTAAAGAGTTCCCATTTGGTACTGTTTTATGAAATCCCAAAACGACAAAATTCGGCTAAGTACCAGTCTTTATAGTGTTTTAGAAGAGCTCGGAAAATCAGATCGGTCGATTAAAAAAGCCCTCTTAAAATTTTTTAAATGCACCCCCTCGATAACATTTTACATTCACGCCTCCTGAAAAGTCAAGGAGCAAAATCTGGGTGCAGATTCCTAAAGAACATTGCCATTCAATTTATTATTCAGTTCAGAATCTGAGTTTTTTTTGGAATTAACACGCTTTCGGCAGCCTTATTGAGTTTTCTACGTGCAGGCTCCTTTTACGATATGGATCGTTAAATTGCACTTCAAAGTCTCGCGTTCGGAAATGTTCTGTCGTAAAAAATCACGAAGACGATTCACAAGTGCGCAACTTTGCAGCCAAAAATCAAAATAGCTCTTTTTGAGCTCGAAACTTTTGACAGGAGTATCTATCGTTTGTATGGGATTTTGTCAACCGACGAGACACTTAAATGTTTTTTTTTCACAAAGTTTTCTCTCAAGAAACCCTTTTTCTCTCCAAAAATTTTTGAGAAAAAAGTCTGTCATGATATTCTTGGTAAAACGATTGAGGTAAAAGTCTTGCAAAAAGTCCACTTTTGATCCGCATAAAACAGCAAAAATCTCTATCATTTTAAAGTATAGGATTTATTTGCCGTAAGGCTTTAAAAAAAAGATGTTTTATTCTAATTTGCTTTTACATCAACCAGAGCGTTTCGTCTAAAACTATGGAGGGGTGCAACTGATCGACTAACACCAAGCTCGACTAGCCTAGAAATCGACTAGCCTAATGGTCGACTAGCCTAAAGGTCGACTAGCCTAAAGGTCGACTAACAACATATCTAACCGGCTATCTAAATCAGCGGCAGCTACTGATATACGCGCGCGCTATGTACCGAACAAATTTAGCATACAAGTGTTTATTTAGCAACTGATTTTTGTTACGACTTTCGAAGAAAACGGAATGTTTATGCTCGTTGTGGTTTTTTTATTCAGTCAATTTTCGCCGATCGAAACAATAGTTTTCGACAAAAATTTTTACACCTCATTGAATATAGCAACTTTCTGAGTTTAAATGTAGAAAGATATTTTAGGTCCGATTATTTTTTGAAAAGTTCTGGGGGTTTGAAAATTGCCAAATTGGCCATGTTCTGGACTTAATGATGCTTCCTTTGAAGAATTTATTCATAATGCTGAGAGTGTAACGCGAATTTATTTATGCGTGGCAAATTATACCGCTCAACAAAATTGTTCCAAATTGAATTGAGGCTAGCTAATCAGATGGTCGTATTAATATTGTACGACTCAACATTTCACACTTTGATATTGTCCAAAAGTTATAAGTTTTCAATATTTGTCCCCAAAAAACTATTCAATGTGAACTAGATGACAGTTGGATTATTCAGGGTTTTGCCCTGGTATACGAGCAGTCTTGTTTCTCTTCAATTCAATTTGGTTCATACAGTGCTGATTTAAATTATCCGGACAAAACGAGTAAACTTGAATTTTCAAACACGTTTTTCTTAAATTGAGATAAGATTAGACAAAAGGTGAGGAGAACAAAAGCTGCTTACAGTTTCATCAGAATTGATATGGTGCAGTTTTTTCTCCGAAATTCGCAACCAAAGTTTTACCCCAAAAATGGGTAATTTTTTTTCAATCAATCGAGATTTATGCTGAAACTACTTTGTTATTTGATCAGGAATATATATCACAAGAAGCCTCTTACACAGGACAACAAAGTTCTAGAAGGTTTAAATCTCCAAAAACCTGTAGAAAAGAAAATATTTTTGCTTGTGTTTTAACAATTTTTAAACCATTTACTCAAATTTTTGGAGATTTTACCCTGCTAGAACTTTGTCGGGCTGTGTAAGAGGCTTCTTGTGATATATATTCCTCATCAATTAAGAAAGTAGTTTCAGCGTAATTTTTGATTAATTGAAAAAAGCCAAAATGACCCATTTTTGAGGAAAAATTTTGGTTGCGAATTTCGGCCATATCAATTCTGATGAAATTTTAAGCAACTTTTGTTCTCCTCACTTTTTGTGTAATTTTAATCCAATTTGAAAAAAACGCGCATGAAAACTCAAATTTTGTTCATTTTGTCTGGATAAGTTAGACCAATTTTCACCAATATTATATAAGGTTCTTTCTTTATTTTGGTAATCGAAAAGAGCTAAGATAGATATTAACCGATTTACGCCTTTTTTTGAGTACTCCTTTGTTTTTTTTTCACATTTCAAAACAGACAATTAGTTTTGCTGGCTCAAAATGAGTTTTTTTCAATGCCCCCATTAAAAAACCGAATTTTGAGGAGAATAATTGTCAAGTAAATTGTCATTTTGCCCTCTTTTTATTCTGCTGATTATTTGATTGCAGGTCTTACGTCATAGGGAAATGTTGAAAACTTTGTCTCTTTGTGAACAAAAAACTAATTTATTTATTTTTTTCACAAAGCCCAAAATGGACTCTCTTGACAATTTGAAATTCTGAAGCTATTTTGAAAATCAAAGAACATCTTTCGATACAATGGCAAAAATAAAGAAAGCAGTCGTAGCAAATGGTGACGCTATCGTGAAACAAAACTAGCAAGTTCAAAAAATGTGGCAATGCATACTGAATCAGCGATAACAAATATTCCTACAACTGAATTTTCAGTGATTCAGTGATGATTATCCATTATCCTTTATCATGATACAGACAAAAATTTGCCTACGGCGAGATTGCTTTAATGCTTGCCTCATATGTTATAGACAGCAATTTGACGTAATCTTAGAAACCTTTAATGGCCGTGTTTTAGCAATGAAAAACGGCCGAGTTTATCTTGAAGTTAGCCCAGATTGGTTTCGCATGGATACTCGTCGCCAAATCGCTGAAAATTCATTTTTAGGAACATTTTATTGATGATTCAGTGTTCATTCCCAAAAAGAAAAAGGAAATTCATTTATTCAGAGATGAAATAGTAATACATTATCCATCATTCAGCGCTTTGAATCAGAATTTATGCCAGTGATATTTCAGTAATGAAAGATAACAAGACTGCTCGTATCAGGGCGAAGCGCTAAATGTTCCGACTGCCTTTTAAAATTTATGAAGCAGTAATAACATTAGAAAATTCAATGAAATAAAACAAAATGAAAAAAAAATTTCTAAAATTTGAAATTTTTTATGAAAATCATCACCGCACACGCCATTTAGAGTACAAAAAGATAGATTTCGCTCCTTGTAACAAACCAATTACAGCAAATAAGCTTCTTTTAACCAATTTGGAACGATTTCTAAGACGGATTAAATCTCCACTTACACGTTAATAGCGCGAAATATATCGCGCGTTAATTGTCCCTAATTGGCCAAAATGGCAATCTTTAAACCCCCGTAACTTTACGAAAAAAGATCACAGGTAAAATATCTTTTCAAATTTGAGCTCATGACAACTATACCTGTCGAATGATGTTAAAAAAATCCGTCAAAAATGGCTAGTTAAAAAGTCGAAATTTGTCTGAAGAAAAAAAAACCCACCCCGAGCACAAATATTCCGTTACTTTCGTATCGAAAGTCGGAACAAAAATCTGGAATTTTGTGTTATATCAGAGTATCACCCGTTTTATATCAGAGTATCTTCCCTGTCGATATTCTGTTTTTAAAATTTCTTTTTTAAATTTGTCTATTTGTCAGTTTTGTTATTCCAACTTTCAAACTTGTAAAGTTTTCTCAAGCTTTAATATCATGATTTTTTACGTTTCTTGTTTTTATCTTGACAAAATTGGCTTTTTTGGCTATAACTTTGCTAAAATTTGTGGAAAACTTCACAACAGTTTGCACCTATGAAAAAAATTTTTGTTGGTTCGTTTGAAGTTTTCAAGTATTATCATTTGAATATGTCCGGGATGAAAAATCAAGTGGTCCCAATAAAACCCTTGCGGAACAAAAATAGTTTTGAGAAAATCTCTAAAATAGCCAAAATCTTTGGGCAGACGCTCCCTTCAGGGATTCGGACCACTGACCCACTGTCCACTCTTGCTATTATCTACTTTGTCGTAGTGTTCCTAAATCTTTTCCAAACTGCCTTTGGCAACAATCTAATTTAGTTCTGGAACTAAAACAAAATTGCTCAAAATATTTGACGATATATATTTGTGTCGCACCGTCCCTAAGTTTTCTCCAAAGGGGCCTTTGGCACCAATCTATTCTAGTTTTGAACTTCAACAGGACTGCTCGATCAAAGTGAAACTTTGAAAACTCAAAAAACTAAATTTTCAAAAACTATTCAACACTTACATCACGATTAATGTCATTTGTAAAAGGATATATTTAGCGACTAGCAAAGCAGAGTATTTGAGCCGATTCAATTTCCAATGACTGTGAGTGCAAATTAACTAACAGTTCTAGTATTATAACACAACAAGACCGCTCGTATATCAGGACAAGGCTCTGAATAAACGGACTGCATTTTAGGGCCAATTGAAACGTTTTTTTAAATAAAAATTGAATAAAAGTTTTTTTAAGAAAAGTTTTTTCTTCATTGATCACCCAAATGTTATGTTAAATTCAAAAAAATGTATTAATATAATTATGATTAATATATGATTAATAAAATTATGATTAATATAATTTATGAGCTGGATCATTTCGCCACATTTACTACGCGTAAATACAAAGTCGGAAATTGCGCACAAAATAATTGTATCAAACTTTTGAAAACGCATAACATTTGGAAACATATTCGAAGGTTAAAAAAACATTGAATTTGATACTTGCGATCATGATTTTTAAAAATTGAGATGATGAAAAAAATT